CTATATCCACCCTGAAAGTTAATGTTGGACAATTTCTGACGATTGACTCTTTTAAATGAAACCAGAGAGCGTTGACAGAGAGGAGAAGGTAGAAATGACTGTCTTTATTTTACAGTTAAAATATATGTTTATCAAATAAAGTCTAATGTTACAACTAATTGGGGATCCCTTTAAGGTCGGAGGTGCAAAACACAGGTGCAAACACTAAATAAAATGATGTGCAACTTCAGGTTGCCACAACGTGGTCGTGTCCCGGTTGTGCACCTCCAAATTTTACAACATGTCACAAGTTATAAAGTGTTTTGCCACATGTTCTTTTGGAGAATACTACAACAACAAAAGCACCAAACATCTCCACCGTTGATCAGGGTACGTGCGGGCCCTGCACGACTGCCCAAAGCACGACTACCAAGCCGTGCTGTGCTACAGCCAAAGCTATTAGCTGTGTTACTGCCAGCATCAACCAGAAGGCTACAAACAGAAACAAATGTATTCTTACTACACAGTGCAATGCATGATGTGAGCCACCTTTTGATTTTGCTCCTCGTCTTTTCTTTTTGATGCTGCACGTTACGGGTCAGGAGGGTTTTGTTGGCCTGGGACACATTGGATTAGTCTTATCACAGGACCTCAGAGTTCAACAAATATAGTAGGTAATCTGTGGGAGCATTTTTACTTTACAAATTACTGACATAGCTGATTTATGCTGGATTAATAACAGACAATCTCTGCAACTGTTACAAATAACATGTGGTCCCTAGGCAAAACTAATCCCATCAAAATAGGGCTTTTGTCACCTTTTTGTCAGAACAAAATAGTTTTTTTTTTCTTTCAGATAATAAAACTTGAGATCACAGCCTTTGTGTTGTGGGAGGCGATGTAGGCCTTCATAACAGGAAAATAATTTTTGTAGGACCCATCAAAGAAAATCTAAAAAAGATAAAATGCATTTTTGCAAGCCAGATCTCACCTTCCTTACGAAGGTAAGTCGTATTAACACTCTTGCTCTGAATCAGTATCTGGCCATGGAACTGGACTGCCTTATCACAGCAAATCTTTACCCAGTAGTAAATGCCCAGATCCAGATCCTTCCATCTGATTACTGTAGGTCTATCCAAAGTACACACTCATTCATAAATATCCAGAAAATGTTGAAACCCTACACAACTACTCTGTCTGAGGCTCTGAAAACGTGTTTGATTATGTGACATCGTCTGACATTTAAATTTAACCTTTTGTGGTAAAATCTATAAAATTCCTTAAACTTAAACTGTGATTGGTTAAAAGAAAGTAAAAAATATAGTGGTGGGCAGCGCTAATCCAAAAATTAGCTCCGCAATTTCTAAAGCACTCATAAAAATATTTAGGTCTGCAACTTCAAAACTACTTATGCCACAAAAAACTAGAGGAAGCTAATTTTAAAGCACAAGTTCAATTTGTCACTTACTAGCTGACAATTCATGAACAATATATGTACAACACTGCCAACTAGTGGTGTATGAACTCTTTTACAGCTTAATTCTACATCCACCGATTGCTGGGGATCTGATTTCCTGAAACAGACCTTTAGTTCTTGGTGTAAAAATTAAAAAGTTGTTGAGGATTGCTAGTTCGGCTGCTTCTTTGTCTTTTTCTTTTGTTTGTTGTGGATTTTTCATTAAAGAAGCATCAATAAAGTAATTTTAAAACTGTTTATTGGAAAACTGAAGC